TATCTTAATGCACAGTAACTGCATAGTGACTATATAGTTACTATTAAATTTAATAGTGACTATATAGTTACTACATAATCACTATATAGTTACTACATAATCACTACATAGTTACTGCGCATGAAATGTAAATTGAGAAATGAAATTCGAGAAATGTAAATCGAGAAATATAAATCATTAAATATAAATTGAGAAATGATCGAGAAATGTAAATGTAAATCGAAAAATGCCAAATCGAAAAATGTTTGTGTTTGCAAGGATACTTGCATCGAATAAACAAAAAAAAATGTAAAAGAAAATGTAAATCGAAAAATATGAAGCGAAAAATGTGAAGCGAAAAATGTTTGTGTTTGCAAGGATATTTGCATCGAATAAACAAAAAAAAAAAGTAAATCGAAAAATGCAAATTGAAAAATGTTTGTGTTTGCAAGGATATTTGCATCGAATAAACAAGTAAATCGAAAATGTGTTTGCAAGAATATTTGTATCGAATAAACAAAAAAATTTTCAATTATCTATTTGAAAGAAAAAAAGGGCTAATCGTGAAGGAAACAACCACAATTTGATTGCCAGAAATGATTCAGACAAATAAGTGCGTACACGCAGTTTTGAGATGTTTCAGTGGCTTCATTATATGGGTTAATATGTGGATGCGGAGTTACGTGATAGAAGGAACCGTTTAAATTATTAGTTAAAAAGGAAGATATATTTGGTTCATTGTTTGGCATTATTGGTTCATTAGAAAAATTTGATAAAAGTTGAGTATTTTGAAAAGTTTCAATAGTCTCATAATTGCTAGCATTAGTAACAGTAATATGGTTATAAGGATATGAGAAAGAATTACTAGCAGAAAATGAATTAGGAGAAGGAGAATTGGCAATGAACACTTCAGCAGCGGACTTTGGTCCACGCTTATTACCTGGCATAAGAATACAAGGCAAATTTCGATCATTACAATTTGTACATTTATTTTGTTCAAAAAGTACATTGCATTTTTGGTGTTTTCTTCGACAATTTGTACATGCTACGGTCGCATGATTACGTGTTTTTTGTTGAGGCATTATTTTATGTGTGTAAATGCTGGACTTTTTTTTTTTTTGGTTTTTCTTCTTTTTTTTTTGTTTTAAAGAGAGCAAAGGAAAAAAATAAAAAAAGGATATATCTAAGACTAAGATTTGAAATACAGTACAGATCGAAAAAATCAAGATATTTATATTTTAGCCAGTCATACCAACTTTATAAAAGTTTTTTGTCAAGTTTGTACCGTTCCGATATTAAGCCTCTTTTTACATGTAATGCAGGCAAAATTTGTATACTGCGGGTCAGGGGTACTTATTTTCGGGCTTAATTTCAGAACAGTACCGGTACGGTAATTATGTTTGACAATACACGAAAAATTAAACAAAATCATTTAAACTATATGGTGCTCAAAATGCACCAATCAAATAAATAAGAAACCTAAAATTCGGTAAGAAGGTTCTATGAACTTAATTTACGTGTCAAATATGCAATTATCATATTTAACGTGAAAATGATGTAGAAAATAATTTCTTTGTTTATGCGATAAATGTTTTAAGTTTCACCACATAAATCCACCGCTCTAATTCTTTTTTAAAATTAGCACAAAAAGGAAAATCATTTTCCTTTCATAATCAAAACAGAATTAGCGTTAGCCGCCGGGATTATATCTTGGCAAGTATTTCTAGATTAATTTAATGATATATGTGAACTATAAGATCTTCGTTTTCGTTGTAAATGTGACAATCATAACAAAAAGACTTTTACAGTACTAAATTAGAGAATTCCATTTGAACTCGAAACGGAACACATAAAGCAGTCGATACTGTCTAATTGCAGAGTTCGTCAGGGCGCCACCAAAAGTACGGGCACAAGACACCATTGCATATTTTCTTAGAAATTGTATGAAAATTTCTTAAAATAAAATATGTAACAAAGCAATATACTACGATATACGTACGTACGTACGTACGTACATACTGATTATTAAGATATGACTGTGGCGATAGTTCAGATAATGTGGCCCGTACTTTTGGTGGTCTCCCTGGCGAACTCTTAATTGCATATACTCTCTAAATGCATAAAAAATTTTAGTTTTTAACTATTAGCACAAAAAAAGTTCTTATAACTTAAATGCATATACTGTCTGTATGCATAAAAAGTCTCTGACAGATGGCATACAATTAGATAGTATCAACTGTATATACGATGAATGCGTAGTGACTAAACTTAAATTTCTTAAGAAATGAAGGAATAATGAAAGTTTAAAATTAGCTAACATGAAACAGTTATATGATACGTAGAAAATCCAATCATTATGCAATAAAGCGGATTACATAATACGTATATATATGCGTGAATTTTGCATGATTAACCATGTCTTTTTGGTCATACATGCGCACGTACAGTACGTACATACGTACGTACGTATTATGTTCAAACCAAACTGAACGTTTTCTAAAATGATCAATTTTGTTATTTTCTCTATTTTCTTATTTTCTTATTTTCTTATTTTGTATTTTAAATGGTGTACGTACGCACGTACATACGTACATTGTACGTACGTCGTGCAGGGTACTCCGACATTTTTCTTTTAAAGAGGTTTATGCTTGTGATTTCAACTAGAAGTCAGGATCAATGAGTTTCTAACATCATTTGATCAATGAATTCCTATTGTTACTATTATTGGTATTATATTTCTTGAATCAATAATTGTCGGGGATGATGCTGAAATTTGGGGACCTTAATTTGAAAATATCAACCCTACTAAAGTCCACCTATACTCTTTTATTATAA